TACATTTTACTGTTGCTAGATGTTTGGTTTATTTCTACTTAGAGCTGTTATAAGTAGTACCATTATGAACATTTCTTGTGCAACTTTTAGAGAACAGTACACATTTTTCTTGATTAAATAACTAGGAGTGTTATGATTGTGCATATGCAAACTTTAATGGACATAGCCAAATACTTTTCCAAAGTTGCTATACAAATTTATACTTCTACCAAAGTAATGCGAGGTTTCCATAGCATCTCTTATACACTTAGTATTATCATTAAAATTTTTTTCTACCATTCTAGAGGATGTATAGTTATAACTGAAGTTGATCTTTTAATTTTTAGTATTTCAATATCCTCTTTTATAAAATATCTGTAAATCTTCCCCCCACTTTCTATTTTGTTGTCCGATCTTTTGTTATTGGCTTATAGGGCTGTATACTTGAAATGTAGAATCCTCTGTCATATATATGCATTGCAAATATTGTTTCCCACTCTGGATAACGATGTCATCTGATAGATAGAAATTCTGAATTTTGTGATACCTGAATTCATCAGAAGTCTTTTTTTTTTTCTGCCTATTGTGAATGCTTGTTGTGTTCTATTTAGAACATCTTAAGGCCATGAAGATCTGTGTTTTCCTATAGTAGCTCTAGTATTTTGTCTTAAATACTTAGGTCTACAGTCCATATGGAAGATTTATTACTCATTATTTTCTATATGGGTATCCAGTTGACTCAGAATCATTTACTGAAAAGACCATCTTTTCCCCATTGTACTGCACTGTCACCTTTGTCATACATGAGGAGACTACATGAGGTACTTGAGTCTGATTCTGGGTTCTGTAATTTGTTCCATTGGTCTGTTTGTGTACAGATTTGTTTCTACTCTGTGTACAGACTCTGTCCTTTTTCATTCTATCTAATCTTGTGCCAACAAAACATTGCTTTAATTACTCTAGCATTATAATGAGCCTTACACTTGCTGATGTAAATTCTCTAGTTTCGTTCTTTTCTTTTCTTTTAGAATTTTAGAATTGGCTATTCAATTTTCACAAAATTCCTGCTGGAATTTTGATAGGAATTGGCCTGAAAGTGTAGCTTAATGGGGGAGAATTGAGAATTTGAAGTCAAATCTGTTTATTGGGTTGTTGAGATCATTTCTTTTTCTTTTTCTTTCTTCTTTCTTCTTTTTTTTTCCGAGACAAGTTCTTGCTCTGTTGCCCAGGCTGGAGTGCAGTGGTGTGATCGTAGTTCACTGCAACCTTGAACTCCTGGGCTCATGGCAATCCTCCTGCCTCAGGCTCCTGAGTAGCTGGGACTGCAGGACCATGTCACCATGCCTGGCTGCTTTTTAAAATTTTTTGTAGAGATGAGATTTTACCATATGCCCAGGCAGTGTCTTGGACTCCTAGACTCAAGCAGTTCTCCTGCCTTGGCCCCCCAAAGTACTGGGATTACAAGAATGAGCCACTATGCCCAGCCAATTCCTCCATTCCTTTTTTTTCTTGAGACGGAGTTTTGCTCTTACTGCCCAGGCTGAAGTGCAGTGGTGCAATCTTGGCTCACTGCACCTCTGCCTCCAGGGTTCAAGCGATTCTCCTGCCTCAGCCTCCCAAGTAGCTGGGATTGCAGGTATGTACCACCACACCAAGCTAATTTTATATTTTTAGTTTCACCATGTTGGTCAGGCTGGTCTCGAACTTCCAACCTCAGGTGATTTGCCTGCCTCGGCCTCCCAAAGTGCTAGGATTATAGGCAGGAGCCACCATGCCCAGCCAGCCCCCTTCCATTATTAGTGGTTTGATTTCTGAGTCATTGAGGGTGCCGAATGAACATTTCTCACTGTGATTATTGATTTGTCTATTTTTCCTTTTTTTTTCCCTATTTTTACTTTATACATTTTTAAAGTTACGTTGTGTGCATACAAATGAAAATTTGTTGTATGTTCCTGGGTATTAACCCCTTTGTCTATATAAAATACCTTAAAGTCTATTTTCTCAAATATTGTGTGATTGCTCTTATATTACTGTGGATATAGCACCTTTCTTTTGTATGATATATCCTTTTAAATTCTTTTATTATTTTAGTATCTACATTTTTGGTATTTCTTTTCTAAGTGATATTCAGTTATGTTTTACTGTTTATCCAGTCTCACAATCTTAGTTTTTAAAAATAACTTAGTTAAGTTACTATGTATGAGATTTTATATCTACTATCCTATTATTTATTTTATATTTTATTTACTTGCTTTGAATCACTTGTCTTTTTTCCTGCCTTCTATTGTATTAAATATTTTTATTGTGCCATTTCCACTCTCTATTAGCTTGTTAATTTACCTTCTTTACCTAGTCTTTTATTGTTGATGCTAAAAGTAAAACCAGCTTATTACTGTCCAAAATAAAATTTTATTTTTAATATTTCTCAGACATTGGTACTACCTTAATAATTAACAGCATTTTCATCCTTCTATTTTTATTTTTATTTTTGCTACACATTTTAATTCCACATATATTTTCAATTCATTAAGATATTATAATTATTGTCATATATAATCAATAATATTTTTATCCACATATTTACCTTTTCCATTGCTTTTCATGCCTTCTTACATTTTCATATTTCTATCTGGAATTATTTTTCTTCTGCCTGGAACACATCTGTGTTTCTTTTAATGTAGATCTGCTGGTGACACAATCTGTTTTCATTTTTATGGAAATACCTACTTCATGTTTACTTTCTAGAGATATTTTCTCTGTGTGTTGAATTCTAGTTTGGCAGTTAGGTTCTTTCACTTCACATGTTACGTCATTGCCTTCTGGGTGCAATTGTTTTCATTAAGATACTGCCAGTCTTTTTCAAAGGTAATGTATCACTTTTTTTCAAGTAACTTTCAAGGTAATCTTTGGTTTTCAGTATGCCTAGATGAGGTACCTACGTGAATTTTCTTTGTGGTTATCCTTGGAGCTTATAGTGCTTCTCGGAGTTCATTTTTCAACCTTTCTCTATTTAAAATGTTTATTTTTTTAGCCATGTTTTACTGTGGATATTTTCTGCTTATGTATTTTTGTAGCTCACTATTCCTCTCTTCTGCTGTGTTAGATGTCTTGTTAAAAATCTATTGAATTCATAATTTCAGTTTTTGTATTTCTCAGTTCTAGGATTTCAATTTGATTTTTCTATTCCAATTGTTTCTTGTAATTCTCATTCCTCTTTCTTTGAACATATTAATCCCAGTTGTTTTAATGTTCACATCTGATAACTCTGTTATTTGTGTTCTGCAGTTCTTTTCCTATTGTCTGTTTTTCCCCCTTCATTCAATTTCTTAGCACAGCTGACTTTTATTGAGTCCCTGACTCCATGTAAAGGAGAGCCAAGGCTCTAGATGTTGTTCCTCCAAGGAAGATTTAAATTCCCTGCTAGCAGCTAGAGTATAAGCAAACCATCTTCATCCAACCAAAGAGCTATAATAGCTGGAAGTTGGTCACAATATTTATAAAGCTTTGTCAACTTCTCGTTTGCCCCTACTACTAGGTTGTAGCCCTGCAGGAGTCCCAGCTGAGAGCTTCACATGTCTACTATGACCTCTCCTTGGAAGGTCTTGCTTCCATAGCACCAAAAGACTATAGAAAATTCTGGATATCTGCTTAACTTTAGTCTTTTGCCCTGTAAAGCTTAAGAATTCAGTAAATGATTTGAGTAACAAGCCACTGAGTATTGGGATCACCTCTCTATATTTTCATTCCCTCCCAAATAGTAGATTATAAAGTCTGTCTGGGTAACATCTCATGCCTTCAGACAGATAACTTTTTTCAGTTCAGATTTTCTAGTTGTTTTCTGCAGAAATGTTAGTCTGCCACAGGCTACTCTATTTGGGCCAGAAGTGAAAGTAGTGCTGAACATTTTGACATTTGGCAATGCTGATGTTTACCTTTGACCATTCTTTGTTTTGAACAAGGATATATTAATTCCGAGCTCAACAGGATTTAGTCTTGAAATGTACCTGTTTACCTTTCTTTTCTTGATAAGTAAACAGGTTTGTTTCTTTGATTCTAAAATAATACCAGAAGTGCCTTTTAAAGATTTCCTGGAGCAAGTGGAAAAAGGAGGTAATAAGGATGGCTTTTCTAGAATTTCTCATGAATTTTGCATCATCTGTGTTTAGAATCTAGTCCTTAGTATTACATTTTAGCCCCTTTCCTGTTTTCCCTGAGAAAGTCTACTATGACCTTGCCGGCAGTGCTTACAGCTGCAGTGTTTATCCTGAGATAACTTTGCCGCAAAATATCTCATGGCTCATTTTCCTCCTGTAGGTGTCACATTATTCATATGGGTTTGGAGACATTGCTTCCTCACAAGCAATCGGAGGTCCTTATTTCTTTTTTTTTTTTTTAGTAGATATGAGCATTTCACACAGCCTGTACAGCTGCCTACCTTTTTATTATTCATCTGAATGCTCAAATGTGCCTATATCTTGATTTTAGTAATTGCTCTGGAGTCAAGGTTTTTTTCCTACCAAGTGTTGACTGCTATTTTTAGTAGCTTCTTAAGGCCACACCTGGGTTGTTTTAAAAACCATCTCTTTGAATAGACAGGGTACTTTTTTTCTTGTCTGTTAGCGTTATGTGGTCTTTTATCAGTTTTTTTTCTTTCTTTTTTTTTTTTGAGGCTTAGGAAATCAGATAACTTCTCTATTATCACAAAGAAAATATGTGTTGTACTCAGTTCTAACTGAGGCCTGTGACTTCTAAGATCATGCTTCCAAGCTCTCCTGCCTCATGTATTACACATTAAATCAACCCCTTCCATCATCCCCTCTTTACTACTCTTTTCTGTCCTTTCTGTCCTTTCAGGAAATCTGAAGATTTTCTGAAGTAACAGTAAGAAAGGACAGAAAAGAGGTTAAAAGAAGGGACTAACAGAAAAGCTTACAGCTCTCTGTTAGCATTATGAACAGGCTTATCATCTTGTCCCATCCACATGTTTTACTATGGACATTTTTATTTTTCATGTCTTTCAGACTGGATGACTATGCCTGTCTGTAAGAAGTCTACTCTCAAGGCAGAGATTCCTGAAGAAGAATTGGACCAATGGACAATAAAGGAAAGATTGGGTAGCAGTAGTTACTGGAAATGTGCTAGTCTGTTGGAGTGGCAATGTGGAGGCCAGGGGATCAGTCTGCAGCGAGCAGCACTCCCTCACCTGAACACCCCATCTGGGATTGGTGAACAGGAATGTGATGATTCTGGGAGCACTGTGAGCTCATCTCTTCATAGTGCTCGAAGCCAGGGACTTCAACCCAGCAAAAAAGCCTTTGAGTGTAGTGAGTGTGGAAAAGGCTTCTCTAAGAGTTCAACTCTTAATAAACATCAGAAAATTCATACTGCAAAAACAAGTCAGAAAATTCATATTAAAGAGAAAAGATATGAATGTAGAGAATGTGGGAAAGCCTTTCACCAGAGTACGCACCTTATCCATCACCAAAGAATTCACACTGGTGAGAAACCCTATGAATGTAAGGAATGTGGCAAGGCCTTCTCAGTGAGCTCCTCACTTACCTACCATCAGAAAATTCATACCGGAGAGAAGCCTTTTGAATGCAACTTATGTGGAAAAGCTTTTATCCGAAATATACACCTTGCCCATCATCATAGAATACATACTGGAGAGAAGCCTTTTAAATGTAACATTTGTGAAAAAGCCTTTGTGTGCAGGGCACATCTTACCAAACACCAGAATATCCACAGTGGAGAGAAACCCTATAAATGTAATGAATGTGGGAAAGCCTTTAATCAGAGTACAAGTTTTCTTCAGCATCAGAGAATTCACACTGGAGAGAAACCCTTTGAATGTAACCAATGTGGGAAGGCCTTCAGGGTGAACTCTTCCCTTACTGAACATCAGAGAATTCACACTGGAGAGAAACCTTATAAATGTAATGAATGTGGAAAAGCTTTCAGGGATAATTCATCCTTTGCGCGACATCGGAAAATTCACACTGGAGAGAAACCTTACAGATGTGGTTTGTGTGAGAAAGCCTTCAGGGACCAATCAGCACTTGCCCAACATCAGAGAATTCATACTGGGGAAAAACCTTATACATGTAATATATGTGAAAAAGCCTTCAGTGACCATTCAGCCCTTACCCAACATAAGAGAATTCATACTAGAGAAAAACCTTACAAATGTAAAATCTGTGGGAAAGCCTTTATCCGAAGCACCCACCTTACTCAGCATCAGAGGATTCACACAGGAGAGAAACCCTATAAATGTAATAAATGTGGGAAAGCTTTTAACCAGACTGCAAACCTCATTCAGCATCAGAGACATCATATTGGAGAAAAGTGATATGAATGTTGAATGTAGTTTGTATGGAAGACCTTTGAGACTGAGTAAATTAATTATTGAATATAAGAAAATCCATTCTAGAGAATAACTATGAAAGCTTGCATCAAGATAGTCACTTTATTTACTAAGGGTCAAGGTTCATAGTGTCACGGGGTTTGGGCATTTAAGAATGGCAAACACTCCTCATTCTTAAATACTGCCTCAAGTAGCAGTACTGTTTCATTAGTCTGAATTGCCAACTATCAGAACCAAAATGGAGCTTCATTAACAATTAACAGCATTAAAATTGGTTTATCAAATTACATCTTGACTATTAGAGAAACTGTGAAATTATAAAAATTTGAGAAGCAAAAGAACAAAAAGTCAAAATGGGCTACAAGGGTTTCACTCTACTAGATTATCTTACATAAGAGAGTTGAGTTGCCACCTTTAATGGAACCCTTAGTCCTCTTCACCCAAACCACTGACACCCAATATAAAGAAAGTGCAGTCACCATGTGTCACCCATAATTGTTTACATTATGCTTCCTACCTTCTGCTTCAAACCATCCATTTTCAGATACCTCTGGTCTGCCTGTCCACTGGCTTCATCCCTGTAGAATCCCTGTGAGATTATTTTCCCCAAATGACCCTCTTCTTAGCAACTCCTAACTGTCTGCGTGGTGTCACCTATCACTGCCCCATATGGGGAGTATGGTGATCTGGTCTCAGACACAGTCCATGATTCTGAATATCACACCCAAATATAGCTTTCAGAACTTAGAATCTCTGTCTGGAAGGCAAAACTTGATCAAAATTCTTGAGTTACGGATTTCCACTGGGCCTCAGCTTGACTGACCCTGGGATGGTACCTGAAGTAGGGGCTTTGCCTGTGCCACATTTACCCTCCAGTTGTTCTGTAGTATACTTAGTGACTCTACACATCAGTCAGGGACTTGCTCAGCTTCTGGTGCAATGATTCCACCCACTTAAGTTGTAGTATTCCCAACCACCTCCATTTGTCATTTCCCATTTCCCTGTGTGCAATCGATATAAGAGGCGAAAGCCCCAAGGCCAGTTCTCAGAATGCTCTGACCCACTCTTTTCTCCCTCATTGAACAGTCCACTGTATCTACTGCATTAGAGTACATTTACTACTCTCAGCATAAACTGCTGCATCCTAGTCCTTTCCCTGTTTTTTTTCTAGGTTTCTGGAGGTATTAATTCTATATTCATAGGAAAGCAGACAGCTTTGAATTTCAGCTTTTGCATTTGGAAGTGGTCATTTCCTCTCCTCCATCTAGGGCTTTCACTATTTAAGGACTCATGCTGACAGTGGTGAGAAAAATGTTGAGTAATCCCATGAGTCAAGAAGTGGTCAGTAGCACCATTGACATTCCCTGGCAAGGGCCATGTACTTGTTCAAAAGTCTGGTACAGTAGTCCGGGAGGTAGGGTTCCTTCACCATCTTTAATCCTTCATTGCTTTCAGTAGAAATAACACAGATAAAATAACATCTGTGCTCCTTCACACACACAGCCTCTGGGGCCCTCACCCTTTCCCTACCACAAGGAATGGAGGAGCCTGTACTACCGCAAGGTGGAACATACCATGCAATGAAGATGGGAGGCCAAGCAAATTACTCTGCAAAGTGAAGTGGCAAGTTCCTGGTTTGTGGAAGTGCTGTCTGTCAAGTCGAGCAATGTGGACCCCTCAGAATGCAGCACCTCACCCCATGTTACAGAAGAGGATATTTTATATCATGGTAGAACTCAGTGGGCTCTGGGTTGCAACATAGACTTGGAAGCTTCCAGCAGCTTCAAAGTCCAGATAATCTAAATTCAGTCTTCATCTAATAAAGGCCACCTTTGTGAGCCAGCATCTCCTGTTAGGTGATCAGCAACTCAGACTTTCTCCCATATTAAGCTGCATGTGAAGCACTGTTTCAAGAGGTTTCTTGGGATTGTCTGTGTCCCATATCCACAGAAGTTCATCTGCAGCTTCACATGGCTGACACCCTGAGATTCCAGAGTAAATCTGAAAAAATCATGTTCACTGCCACAGATGTCTGCCTTCATCCCTATCCATGTGATGTGCTAGGTCTTAACTACCATCCCCTTACCTTGAATCCCTGAGAAGCACGTTTCTAAGCTGAGTTGGTTGGTTTTTTTATTTGTAATCAATGCATGAGAACTACCACTACTTGGAATGTGCCTACAGTTAAGCCAGGGCCAAGGCCTGCACCCAGCTCAAGAGTCTCATTCATCTCAACCACAGCTCCAGGAACTGTGCCTCTAGTGTGTAAGTGCAGCCTGAAGCCCCTCCATCTGAGATGACGGTGCACTCTCCCTGAGTTCATCTTTTGTCAGGCTTGGGTTCTCATGGATTTAGTCCTCCGAGGTGCCTGTTCACTTATCCCAGTCTGGGAAGGCAAAAAGTAAGTCACTGGCTTATGAGATATGCCCAGGCTGACTTGAATATATTTATGGTACTAGTATTTGGCCAGGCAGTGGCTTTACTCTATTTTACTGTAGGAGTACAAGCTTGCTACATGGCCTTCTTAATTAGGAGAGTGTGCATTGCTTGGGTCTTAGTCCTTTTTCTCATGTGGATTATATGGCTCTCTACCTGGGCATTTTAACCTGCCCCAGCTGAACCCCTAAAAGTAAATTTCTGAGGACCCTGCAGTAAGACTTCTTCAGCCACAATCTTTTCTGCCAGCTGATCTGTGCAGTATTTGACATCTCAGCAGTTACCGAGAGGAAGTTTTCTGTACCCCACCTTCAGCTGGGTTAATCCCCAAACACCCAGTGTTTCCTAGAAAGAGCAGTTCATTCTGTACCTTGCTTTTCTAGTCCTAATGGCCATATAGACATAAACAACTGTGACAAGATGAAGGACCACGATTTGGGACTCTTCAGGGACAGATTTGGCCACCCGGTAATGTGCCGCCTTCAGCAGCTCCGTCTTTACACATCCAGCCTGCCTTTGCTTCATGTAGTGCACAAAACTGCTCTGGCATACCACGACCATGAACTTCACGTGAAGCCAGTCTCCCCGCCCCTCACTTGGGCCATAGCAAAAGGTAAGAGCCAGAGAAGCCACTCCTGGCCTCTCCTCCCATCTCAGAGCCTTCTGAGACCCATCCCGGTGCCAGTTCCACTCAGCCCAGGGGGAAGGTTTGAGAAGGGAATTAGCATCTAGACTTTGATAGGTTCTTCATTTCTATGAGCTTCTGGGAACAGCCACTGAAACTGCCTCCTCTTTAAAGAAAAAGAAAATTGCTTTATATTTCCTCTTTCAGATTCCTCTGCCCGTCTCCTGCCGGGTGCCCCTCATCTCCAGCTGACTGATTTGTCATCTGGGTTCTTTCTTCCTGCCTGCCTGTTTGTCCAGCTTTGACAGTAGCCTCTAAGACGTTACCTTTGTCCATATTCATATTCACTGACTGCTTCCAGGACAGCACTTTGTCCCTGCAACAGACTCAGGCTTCCAGGTTACTGTGCCTGAGCCTCAGAGTCGTGGAACAAAGTTGCTTTGAACTGAATGCTTTTTGTGGAGAAAACAATGTAATTCAGAATTAATCCAAGAACACCATAGCTTCTCCCTGTCTGATTCCTCTCCTTTTCTTCCTGTTCCTTTGCACTTTGCCCCACCCTTCCCCTATAGCCTGGCTCAGTTGGCAGTACACCATGGAGACACCAGTCTCTCACCCTCTTCTGTCTTGCAGCTGGAGGGCTCCCCACTTTTTGGCCCACCTCAACTCCTGCTAAATATATCTTTGGCAATTTAAATATTTTTATAACAGTTTGTGAAAGGAAAAGAATTCAAGGCTTGGTTGATTCTGATCACTCAAGGACCTCTTGGTGGTGCTGACAGTCATCCTCTGCAGGTGCCAGCACTGGGTGGCACTGACACTTCCTTTGTGTTCCATGTGCCACCCTCTGTACCCACGTCACTATCCTTAAAAAAATGTTGACAGTAATTCTTCATCGGTGTGTCTTTCTGAAAATAAAGTAAGTCCCCAGTTTTCTAAGATGTATAAGTTGCATTTTTGTCACCTGGTTATCTAATTAGATGGTGCTAAGATATGGCCAGAATCATTCCAAGTGTTTTTCTCTCTGTAGCCAGCCTGGCCCAAGCCCCTGGCAATGACCATTGAAACCCTATGTGGTCCTCAAAAGCAGAGTGTTGACACTGTGGAATATAAAAAACTGTACCCCCATCACTGGGGCTCACAGTTCACATTTGAGGGCATGCCTAGTACCAGATGCTATTGTAAGAACTTTGCATATATTAATTCATTTAATCATCACAAAATTGCATGAAACCATTACTTCCATCTTGTTTTGTATTCTATTATGAGGTGGTCAATGAGATGCTGCCAAAAGAGGCCGAGGAGAGGCTCAGGAAAACGAAAGTGTACTCACTATTCCTGGAGACAGGCGGCAGGGCAGGCCACACAGGGCCATGTGGGCGAGGCACCAGGGTGGTCAGGAGGAAGACAGGAGTCAGGGGGTATGGGCGGATGCATGAAGCCAGACCCTTTCTTTGGGTTTCTGAGGGAAAGTCAGGGCAGGGTGAATAGTTTAGACTGACTAGTTTGAGTAATTTCAGTGGGCTCTAATCTATAAGGAGAGGGAGTGTACCTAGGTGCCTGGTCTCCAACTCGGGGATAATGAAGGCAGTGGAGTGGTGCTCCTGGGGTGTGCGAGCCTGAGAGAGGAGGCCTGGCTCTGGGTGGTTAGTGCATATTGAAAGCATGCCCAGCTCAGTCTTTGCTGTCTCTTAAGAACTGGCCAGCCCCAGGAAGGGCAGGCTCTGTCTGTCCCCAACCAAAAGGTTTGTTTCTTTTCTTTTCTTTCTTTTTTTTGACAGAGTCTTGTTCTGTCACCCAGTCTGGAGTGCAATGGTATGTGCTATCTTGGCTCACTACAAATTCTGCCTTCTGAGTTCAAGTGATTCTCCTACCTCAGCCTCCCCAGTAGTTGAGATTACAGGCATGCACCACCATGCCCAGCTAATTTTTTGTATTTTTAATAGAGATGGGCTTTCACCATGTTGGCCAGGCTGGTCTTGAACTTGAGACCTCAAGTGATCTGCCCACCTTGGCCTCTCAAAGTGCTGGGATTACAGGTGTGAGCCACCACACCTGGCTAAAACAAAATATACAGGAAAAATTTCAAATATATACACTATATTTCATAACTATTTTATGACTATGTAACATTTTACAATCTGTTTTACAACTGCATTGGTATTTGACCCTAAAAGATCATTTTTTTTCCCTTCCAATTTAAGGAGAACTGAAAACATTTCCCTAAAAGCAATCTGAGCCATAGGCACTGTGTCTACTCCACCTAATGGAAAAATCTGTGCTGCCTGGGGTTGGTGGGTGGAGAGGGCTGGGGCCACATGCTCACCTGGAACCTAAGGAGGTGGGGTTCACCCAAACCACATGAGCGAAGAGTGGGAGAGAGGGGTCCACAAGAACAACACAGGGTCTTTCTCCAAAGAAAGGAGGATGTGGAAAGGTCCCATGCAGGCAAACTGCAGACGACTCCAGGCCTGACACCACTGAGGCTGAGGCTGTGGCCCTTGGTGACTCACCCCCTTCTCAGATCCACACTTTCTGGGCCAGGCCTGAGGCTGAGCCTCATGGGGGTGAGAAAACCGGAAGCCTGGGTGAAGATGTGGGGGTAGGGCAGGTGGAGCGCTGACCCCAAGGACCTCTTTCCCTGGAGAGGCAGCAGTTTGAGAATAAAACCCAGAGGCCTTTCTGATAGTGGTGACTGGCAACAGACCTGCTGAAGTCCTTTCTTCCTTCCCCCCTCCCCTTCCCCCATCCCCTTCCCGCTCCCCTCCCTTCCTCCTTCCCCACCTCCCTGCCCCCTTTCCCTCCATCCTCCTCCCTTCCCTTCCCCTCCCTCCCTTTCCCCTTCCCCACTTGCCCTCCCAGCCTTCCATCAATTGAAGCTGTAAGACCACACAGGCCCATCAGTTCATGCAGGGGGCCTTGGTAGCACTTGAAACAGAGGAAACTGTTACCTGGTTTTGGGTTTTGTATTTCAAATTTCCAAGCTCCAGATAGTTTTTGTAATAATATACATTTTACCAGAGTGTTAGAAAATGGAAAAGTTTCAAATTGCTTTTCTTTCTCTCAATTAATTTTCCTTGCAGTGAAGAAGAAATTCCAAAGTTGTAAAACATATTTAATCACCTGAAGTTCAATTGCTAATTCATCTCAGTAATATACCTACAGGCAAATCTTTTATCATCTAGTTTTTAGTGTCTTTACTGTTTGAAAACATGGAGGTCGACTGAAGATTTTTAAAAATCTTATCTAGTTATATGACTTCTGCTGTTCTTGATACAGATGGGGAGATTGGGTCTGAGTGAAAGTAAGTCTCAGGCCCAAGGTAGGTGAGTATAAACCCAGGATGGAACTCAGAGGTGTCTGACTCAGCAGATTCATAAAGAGAAATGTACATAGGCAGAAGATGAAACTTGGAGGCTGTTGTCACCAGGGGTATATTTTAAACTTCTTAAGCAGGCAGTGGGGTTGGGCTGGGATGGCGAGGTGAAGATAATGCCGTAACTAGACAGGTTCATTAGGAAAGAGGTTTGTTACAAGAGCCTGTGGCAGGAAAACATGAATATCTGAAGTTAGAGATAAATGGATCTTGGGAGCATAGTTATGCAGCCGTTCAGAATTCATCTGAGTTGAAGATAAGATAGGTAAAGGGCACATCAATGGTTATTCCTTGAGAAGCAGGTCATGATCCTTCTTGTCTTTTAGGTTTTCTTTAGTCATGAATTTCTCTTAGTCTTTCTAATGGTTTTTATGCTTATCCATTATTGCATAAGAGATAGGTTCACTAAGCACTCATTATGAGCCAGGCAACTTGCATTTTTTCTACATTATGCCATGAAATTTATATAGAAACCTTCAAGTTTGTAGGGGTGGATGGTAACCTATCAGCTAGATGTGATTATCATACTTACTTGACAGACAAGGAGTCTTTGACTTAAGTAGCTTGACCAAGATCACATTAGAGTTAAGAGAAGGGTTTTAAATGTGAAGGCTTTGTGGTAGAACCCAAATGCTTACCCAATAAGCTGTACCACCATGGATCTCAGGAATCAGTCACTCTGGCTGCCAAAGTTCTGTTCACCTCTTTTCTCTCTCCTTTTTGTTCTTTTCCCAAAATATAAGTACACATCAAAAGATGTTTCTGGCCGGGCACTGTGTCTCACACCTGTAATCCCAATACTTTGGGAGGCTGAGGCGAGGGGATCACCTGAGGTTAGGAGTTTGAGACCAGCCTGGCCAACGTGGTGAAACCCTGTCTCTACTAAAAGTACAAAAATTAGCTGGACATGGTGGTGGGTGCCTGTAATCCCAGCTACTCCCAGGCTGAGGCAGGAGAATCACTTGAAATCAGGAGGCGGAGGCTGCAGTGAGCTGAGATCGTGCCACTGCACCCTAGCCTAGAGTATAGAGAAAGAGTCTGTTTCCAAAAAAAAAAAGATGTTTCTAAGAATGCTAGCAGTGCATGTTTGAGAGCAGTATTAGTCCAGTGAGTGAAGGTGACCACTACACTGTTTCTGCGTGTAAAACCCTGTTTAAAAACACATGTATAAAAGATGTTGCTAAGAGTGCAGCTTGGGTGTATGATTGCAAAGTGTTGCTTCTATGAATAAAGGTGTCTACCACACCATTCCACATGTAATACACACTATTCTGCATGTAATATACTCTGAAAAGACAAAAGATGTTTCTAAAACATTCTCAACACAGTAGTCAGAGTGGTCCTTTTAGTTCGTCAGACCCTCTAACTGTTACTAAAACCCTCCAGTGTCTCCTCATCTTACCCAGAGTAAAAGAAAGTCCATGATTTTAATGGCCTTGGCCTACAGGGCCACACACAATATACATACGCCAGTGCCTCAGGTGATGGTTAGCTTTATATGTCACCTGGCCAGGCTATAGGACCCAGTTACTCAATCAAGCACTGATCTAGATGTTGCTATGAAGGTGTTTTGTAGATGCAGGTGACATCTACAATCAGCTGACTTTAGGTAAAGGAGATTACTCCCAATAATTTGGGTGGGCCTTTTCCAATTAGTTGAAGGCCTTCAGAGCAAAACTCTCTCTCTCTATCTAATCTCTATCTATGTCTAATATATTGATCCTTTTTACTCTGTCCTCTGGAGAGCCCTGACTGCTCCGCTTTGCTGCCTTCCTCACATTGCCTCCCTCCCTCACCCTACTCCTCCATGCCACTCTCCTTGCTGGATCCCAGAAACACCAGGCAGGCCCCTGCCCTAGGGCCTGGCACTCACCACTCTGCCTGCAGGAGCCTGTTGCCCACACATCCCCGTGGCTCGCTCCCCACCTCCTTCAGATGAAGCCTGCACTGGATTGCCCTATTCAGAATTGCAGCCATCACCCCCAGCTTCCTTATTCTCTGTACCTTGCTTTGCTGTTTTATTTTGTCCACAGAATGTCACCCACCCTCCAACATACAATATTATTTATTAGTTTTGTATGTTGTTTATTGTGTGTCTCCACCATTAGATGCAAGTCACCTGAAGGATGCAATTCCTGTCTGTTTTGTCTGCTGATGTATTCCAGGTGCTTAGCACAGAGTAAGCACCCAAGGCTACATGTGGGACTAACAATGAATGGGCAGCCTGTGGGGGCCAGGGAGTAGGGGCTACCTGGGTGTGAGATGGGGTCCTGGGACTGCCCAGCTGTGGGGCTGAGTTCATGAGTGGGGCCTGTGTGGGCAGTGATTGGTAGGACTGGGAGGACTGATGGTAGGTGTATGGGGCCAGCAATTTGGGCACCTCCGCAGGGTGCTTTAAGGAGACTCTGGCTTTCAGCGACTGTGGGAGAAATGAGTATCTTGCCCAAGGTCACTCATCTAGCAGAGCTGCAGTTGACCTCAAGAAGCCTTAACCATGACACAGTGCAAGGTCAAGATGTGAAAGCTGACTTAAAGAAGTACACAGGGCATGGGCAAGACAAGGTCTGTGTGCCCTGGAAGTTTTACCCGTCTGCAGAACAGAATGGGAAAAGTAACTCAGACATTGATACTACAGTAAATTCAACATTAGAGAGCTATGATCATACCTAATCTGGCAGATTGTATCAGTGAGCAGTGCTTGGGGCCATGTTCGCCTAGACTAATGTACCCTTCTACTATTTCTGTTATGAGAGCCTACAGGTAGATTTGAGAATGAATCACAACCCAGAAAAGGCTGGGACCCTAGCAATGGGGTCATAGCACCACGGTGCCATGGAAAGGTGATCTTTTTATATTAGTGTGTAGGATGAATAAGAGGGAAAAGATATAAGAAGCAGAAAGACTAGTTAGTATTCTGACAGAGTAATTGCTATATGCTTAATATTTATATTGCTCCAAAATTCATATGGTAAAATCCTAACCTCCAATGTATGGTATTTGGAGGTGTAGGGCCTTTCGGGGGTTATGAAGGTAGAGCCCTCAGGCATGGGATTAGAGCCCTTATAAAAGAGACCCCAGGTGCCCTCACACTTCACACCATGTGAGGATACAGCAAGAAAGTGCCGTTTATGAACAAGGAAGCAGCCCTCACCAGATACCAAATCCACTGGTGCCTTGCTCTTGGACTTCCCAGCCTCCAGAACTGTGAGAAATGCCTGTTTTTCAGAAGCCACTCAGTCTGTAGTATTCTTTTATAGCAGCCTGAATGGAGTAAGACAGGACTCCACAAATAAAGTGATAAGGATAAAAATTATCAAATCCAGTCCTTTTGTTTTTTTTAATTTTGGAGACAGAGTTTCATTCTGTTGCCCAGGCTGGAATGCAGTGGTGCAATCTCTTGGCTCACTGCAACCTCTGCCTCCTGGGTTAAGTGATTCTTGTGCCTCAGCCTCCCGAGTAGCTGAGATTACAGGCATGTGCCACCATGCCTGGCTAAATTAGTGTTTTTAGTAGAGATGGTGTTTTACCATGTTGACCAGGCTGGTCTTGAACTCCTGGCCTCCAGCGATCAAGTGATCCGCCCACTTCAGCCTCCCAAAGTTCTGGGATTACAAGTGTGAGCCATCACACCCAGCCAAATCCAGTCCTTTTGCTAATTTACCTCTCTATACTCTAGCCTGCCTTTTGGAATTCCATCCAATTGGTCAGTTTCTTCCTCTCAGAGCCTTATTCCTTCTTGGTTCCTATCCCTTACATTTCTTCAGCATTTTCTCCACAGGGTGGAATGTCATTTTTGAAACCCCCCAAGCTACTTGTAATAACCATCAGTATTCCACTCTGGCTGTCCATCCTACAGTAGTGTTCCCCCATCAAAGCTATATGCTGAATATTTATGTTGCAGGAAAATATTTACAGTTTGGAATTTTTCTTATTGAGAAACAAAGGTATCAATAAAGAGTATTTGTGAAGCAGTTTTATTCTATAAACTGATGGGAAGATTCACTTGGAATTGTGCATTTTATTCCATTTTTAAAGAAGTTTTATGAAATGTGTAAAGGAGCGACCACAGACCCAAATCAAACTTTTGGGAAAAGTTAAATTTATTTAACAGGAAGTAACTGAGTAAAGTCAGTTACCTGGACTCTTCATCACAAGCAATGAATGCGATAAATTAGGGGGAAATTTCTAAAGAGCAAAAAGTATAAGAAATGTGACAAAGCTGTAATAAATGTGTCAGAAGATTTACACAAGTGAGAAAGCCTAAGAATATGGTTAATATACAGAAGCCCTTCGATACAAGTCTCAACACATTGGACCACAGGTGAGGCCTTATAAATAGGTGGGTAAAGCTTATGTCAAAATGTAATCTTACTCTGCTTTAGAGCTCTCATCCCAGAGAGGAACACTGCAATTTTAACTGTGTAAACGTGGAATAAGCCTCCAATCCAGAACTCCATTTTCACTGGGACATATAATTCATGATGGGAGAAATAATTAAAGGGCAACAAATGGGACAAAACCCAAGAGCCCTTGTGCCTGACCAAGACTTGGGGGTGATTTAATGGAGTACATACAAGGGAGGAAAACAGCTGTACTCTTAAGACTGACCTTGCCCAATCCTGGCAGAGCAGGGGAAAAGCCCATAGCATGGGGAATCTCATGGGGGTGCACCCCAGTTCCTCACCTCTCTCCCTCACTCACTGCAGGCCCTTCCCATGCTCACAGGGGTCTCACCCAGGGTCTCTCCCTCCGTGCCAGAGGAATCCTACCCAGACCTGTCAATGAAAAAGAGACCCAGGGTCTCTCCCTTCATCCAGATGCACAGCCACAAGTCTCTTACTGAGACAGCTCCTCCTCTAGCCTGACCCCATGTTTCATTCTGGGATCTACACATTCTTCCACGCTTCCCAATGCCCTGGTTATGGGGCTTGACTGAGGGGAGGACATCTCCCTCAAACCAGGCAAAGCCCCAGGCTGCATCATCATCTTTAAACCTCGAACGAGAGAATAAATTTAGTCCCTCTCTAGAGTTAGAACCTTCTCGGTGGCTGTTTCCTACCATAGGTAGTGAGTCTGGTCTGTGGTGAGGAAGCATGAAGCTCACGTGCTGGAATCAGGGCAGAGCTGGGTCCAGTTCCTTCTCAAGGCTAGCCACACCCATGCTGGGCATAGTCTTTGCAGACTCTCTTCCTCTGACTGTTCACTGTAGGCATGGGCTCTTTACAGATTCCACCGTGAAGCCAGAGGAAGAAAGGAGAGGCAGTGAGCAGTCTCATTCCCAACTGCCCTGCTACTTGTGGTCCTCTGCATCCTCGCCCTTGGGTGGGGCTGCCACCACGGCCTTGAGGCTCCGCTTCCGCTTTTGTACGTTCTGCTCCGGATGGAATAGGATGATGTAGGTCTTGGGGACGTAGAGCATGCCGAGGGACACCGATGCACTCAGGCTCAAGGACACGGTCAGTGTGGTTGTCTGGATGTAGATCTAGGCCACGGAGGAGGGGACAAGGTGGGACTCAGCTGCGCTCTCCCTACTCCACCCCACACATCCTCACCACACAGACTGAAGCTGAGTCTATTTCAGTCTGGGAACTGGAAATAAGCATTAGACCAGGACAACAGTATGAGCAGAGGCCCTGGTGCCTGAGGCAGCCTCCATGCAGCTCTGATGTAGGCAGGAGGGAGGGGCTAGGAGGGGTTATTAACAGAGTGACACCTGGGGAAATGGGAGCCAGCAAATGAGCACGTTTCAAATACATGCAAATGAATAAATGGGCGAAGATTGAATTCAGGAGCAGATGGGCAAACAAATGGATGACAGGTATATAAATTCTTCTGCCCTGTATATGAATAAATTATGTCACAATGGACTAACACATTAATGGGTTGGCAGCTATAAAGCATATGAAGGCAGCTATAAAGCATATGAAGATTACAGTGGCTTACGCCTGTAATCTCAGCACCTTGGGAGGCCAAGGTGAGTGGGTCACCTGAGGTCAGGAGTTCGAGACCAGCCTGACCAAGATGGTGAAACCCCCGTCTCTACTAAAAATACAAAAATTGCCCAGCTTGGTGGTGTGTGCCTGTAGTCCGAGCTACTTAGGAGGCTAAAGCAGGAGAATTGCTTGACCTGGGAAGCGAGGTTGCAGTGAGCCGAGATCACACCGCTGCACTCCAGCCTAGGCAACAGAGCAAGACTCTGTGTCAAAAAAAAAAGCATATGAAGAACTTGAATTAAAAAAAAAAAGTTAACTGAGTGACAGAGTGAGGCACCATTTCTCGAAGAAATGAAAATGATAAAAAAGAAGAGTGGAAGTTAAGAAGCAGGGTTAGAAGTGTGGATAAGCGAATGAATGAACCAAGTAGGAAGGGAATGAATGGATGAGCAAGCAGCCGGATACAGGATAAACAAAAGCTTGAACAAGCATTTAAGCTTCTGAATGAATCAACCGCAGGACAGGCAGGAAACATGAGGCAGTGAGATCTTCTGGGGACCTCATTACCTTTTCAGCTGACTGGGCAGTGCCAAAGAAGATGGGCACAAATGCCAGCCAGATGATACAGGTGGTATACATGGTGAAGCCAATGGGCTTGGCCTCATTGAAGGTCTCAGGCACACCACGGGCCTTGATGGCATACACTGTGCACGTGACCATGAGCAGGAGGCTGTAGCCCAGGCAGCCAATCAGAGACAGATCTGACATGTCGCACTTGAGCACCCCTCTGGCCTGTTCCGGGTCCACTGTCCGCTGCTCCTCATAGTCAATCACGCTGTGTGGGGGCCTGACTCCCAGCCACGCTATCACCCCCACCACCTGCAGGAGCCAATATCACATCAGAGACACAGCATTTTCCAGGGACAAATCCATTCCAGTTCCCACCAAGGCCCCTGGCAGGCTGGGATCTCCTTGAGGCTCTGGCCTATGGAGTGGGGTGCTCTGCCTCTTCGTGGTTGCTCTCAGGACCACTCAGTGCAGAAGAGGGGGTGGCAGCCCAGGAAGGGGCAGCCCAAGAGGGGTCCACCCAGCCAAGGGCCTGTGACCTTGCAGCTGCAGAGAAGGGCTGTGTTGGCCATATGTGTTGGCAACATCAGTGCAGTTTGCATAAGGGGCAGCTTGGTGTCCTCTTCCTGTGTTCTAGCCCTTAATATTACCAATGCCATTGACCTCACCCTTTCAAGGTAGATGGCTGCGGCCGGAAGCTCTGGAACTGAGGCTCTACTCACATCGTCTCTCTAGCCTCCTCACATGTAGTGAGCTTCAAAATAAGGGCACATCACAGGCAAGAGAAACAGGGGCACTCAGTGGGGAGCAGCAGGAGTGGGAGCTGCTGCCAGGTGGCCTGAGGAGTGTTGGCATTTGCAGGCTCCCACAGGGAGGAGATGGAGTTCCAATTCTCTTACAGGACAGGAAACACAACCCCCAGCCAAGGGAAGCTGGGAAACAGGAATGAAGCCACCTACATAAAGGTGGGACCCTGGAAGGCCTGCCCCACACGTTTGTGCAGGTTGTTCACTGCACAAGAGCACCTGATTGGGGGTGGGGGTGGAGCTGGAATCCGGCCTGCATGCCAGTGCCAGGCCATGCACCTGGAGCGGGGCCATGTGATCCTGCCAGAAGGGATGCTTTGCAATCATCTGCCCACCCAGAAGAAGCAGCTTTTTGTGCTTTTCCTAAAGGCAGCAGACCCCTGAAGAAAGGACCATCCAAAATAAGTTTGGAAGTTCCTACTAACTTCCAAAAAAAAGTTCCTCTTAAGAAACAAAAATGAAAGTCCAGGGATGCACAGCAGTAACACAAAACCTGCCCACGGACGCTGCAGCCCATGGGACTGAGAGTGAGAGAGCATGCCTCACTCAGGAATGGACTCCTGCAAAATAGTAGAAAATGAGCAAAGGACAGGAACAGGCCAAGCACAGGAGAGGAAAGCCCCAGGGCCGGGTGCACTAGTATTAACTGCAGGCAAATTAAAACCACAATGAGATGCCATTTCACATCTATCATGATGAGGTAGTCATGGCAAAAACACCTAGTCCAGTTGCAAGTTTGTGTTTGTTTAAAGATCCGTTTGGCCGGGCATGGTGGCTCAAGCCTGTAATCCCAGCACTTTGGGAGGCTGAGGCGGGTGGATCACGAGGTCAAGAGATTGAGGCCATCCTGGTCAACATGATGAAACCCCATCTCTACTAAAAATACAAAAAGAAAAAAAAATTAGCTGGGCATGGTGGCGCGTGACTGTAATCCCAGCTACTCAGGAGGCTGAGGCAGGAGAATTGCCTGAACCCAGGAGGCGGAGGTTGCGGTGAGCCGAGATCGTGCCATTGAACTACAGCCTGGGTAATAAGAGCGAAACTCCATCTCAAAAAAAAAAAGATCCGTTTATCTGGAAAGGAGGGTATAGTGTGGGTTGGGTAATGGCTCAGGCTGGTGAGGAGAGCTGGGGGTCCCAAATCTGGTCTAAGCATCTCCACCTGGGGGTGGGAGAGCATGGAGCGCCTCAGGCTGGAAGTAGAGTGCACCTTCTCATGATGTGCAGCACATGGAGACCCCGGGCCTGACCAGGGGACACTCAGGCTCTGTTATCTGGAGGAAGATGGGAGTACCTGCTAGTCCCGAAGAACTGCATAAACCGAGGCACGTGGCGTGTGTGGAACCAGTAGAGAAGGGGCTTGCTGGGAGTGGAGAGTGCCATGTCCAAATGAGCAGGTGTTGGCACTGATGCCACCCTCCACCTGGCCCTGAGAACCCAGCTGGCCCTGCAATGTCACACCAAGTCACCCTCCCCAAGCCATCTGTCTCTTGTATCCTTCCCACAGAAAACATCTAGGGCAACCCAGACTCCAGGAGCGGTCTCCAAGGCTGTAATAACTTTACTGTCTTAGGAAAATCCCCCAAAGGAGCTCCATTTTTTAATGCACAGCACAGCATGAAACACCAGCCACTGGATGGAATTCAATGCTCCACTCCACAGTAAAATGTTGGACCCTGCGCCTCTCATCCACACTGCCCCAGTGAACAGGGCAGCACTGACTCCCTTGTGGAAACAGGAAAACCGGTCAGGTAGCTCTTTGTCCTATTTCCATATGTGAGCCAAATTGTGGAAGAGCACATTCAGTTTATGAAAATAACTTCACTATGGTACAGAAAGATCCCTGAGGTCCACGCTCCATGTTCCTTCAAGGACCCAGCAGGGAAGATGGCCACCCTAACTGAGCTGCTGTCATCACAGGAGTGAGGGGGCTCCCTTTCCTGTGGCCTTTAAAAATAAAACGACAAAACAAAACACAGGAGCCAAAATAGAAAAGAGTGACTCTAAAATCAACATTTCTCTTTTTGTTTTGAGACAAGGTCTCCTCTGACGCCCAAGCTGGAGTGCAGTGGTGCAATCTTGGCTCACAGCAACCTTGAACTCTTGGGCTCAAGCAATCCTCCCATCTCAGCCTCCTGAGTAGCTGGTACCACAGGCATGCACCACCATGCCCGGCTAATTGTCATATTTTTTATAGAGACAGGGTCATGCCATGTTGCCCAGGCTGATCTCAAACTCCTGAACTCAGGTGATCCACCTACCTCAACCTCTCAAGGTGCTGGTAGTGAGCCACTGTGCCTGGCCTTTTCTACTTTTTAAAGTTGAGGACAGTCCCTCTCCCTGCCCTGGCCCCTGGGAGCCCACGGACCCACCTGCAAGGAGGTGAGGCTGAAGGTGATGACCAGCTGAGAGGTGGGGCTGATGAAGGGAGGGGGTGTGACCGAGCGCTTGCCCTGCTCGAAGATGCGGTAGATACGGTTGGTCTTGGTGAGCAGGGCAGAGTAGCTGAGGGTTGTTCCCAGGCCCAGGAAGAGCCTGCGGGCGGCACAGACCGTGGCCCCGGGCTCAGCCACCATGAGGAAGGTGATGGCATAGATGAGGAAGATGCCAGTGAGAAGGACGTAGCTGAGCTCTCGGCCAGAGGCCCGGACGATGGGTGTGTTGTTGTGCCGCACGAAGGTGGCCACCACCGTGGTAGTGGCTATAATGCCCAGCACGGCCAGGAGGAGTGGCGGAGCTGCCCAGGGGGAGGACCAGCTCAGGCGCACCACAGGTGTGGGGCGGCAGCCCGTGTGGTTGGGCGTGGGCCTCATGTCCCCAGGACAGGCCTCACACGTGAACTCATCCACCTGGAAGCGGTACCCGTCACAGGCCTCACAATGCCAACAGCAGGGAACACCCTTCACCATCTTCTTCCGCTCCCCTGGCCCACAGGGGAGGCTGCACAGAGACGAGGGCACCTCGTGGGGGTCACCAGACCACTGCAGGGCCTCCACCTGGGATGCACAAAACACGGGCTGGTGGCCTCTGCCTCCAGAATCCTGGGCCCATGCCCACCCGGGGCCCAGTCTGCACACTCACATCCAGTCTGAGGGTCTCTGCCCACTGGCCCACTGCCTGGTACCCGCCACTGCTGGCACTGCCATTGGTTGCCTGGTACTGGAAGATGTCATACCGCCCAGGTGCATCTCCGTTCTCGTTGAACATCACAGGGGTGCCCGCGCTTCCTGGAAGGAGAGCCCGGCATCCTCGTTGGTCCTCCAGCCCAGCAGAGCTGGCCTCCCGGGGAGGCCCCAAGGACCAGCAGGAGAAAGGAGGAGCTCAACGAGCACCACTGCTCATAAGGGAGGTGCAAATCCAAGCCACAGGGAGATCTCCCTTCACCCATTGGGATGGCTTCTATCCAGGAACCAGAAAATAACAAGTGTTGTGAGTGTGCGGAGAAATCAGAACCCTTGGGCACGGTGGACGGCAAAAGGCTGCAGCCGCTGCAGAAAGCAGCCTCCTCAAAAAATTAAACACATGACCCAGCAATTCCACTCCCGGGTAGATACCCAAAAGACTAGAAAGCAGGGTGGCAAAGAAATACTTGTACAGCCGTGTCCATAGCAGCATTATTCACATAGTGAGAGCAACCCGAGTGTCCGCTGACAGGAATGGATGAATATAATGGGGCCCATTCATACAATGGGATGTGATTCAGCCTCCAAAAGGAAGGGAGTTCTGACCCATGCTATGAAGTAGATGGACCCTGAGGACATGATACTCAGTGAAACAAGCCAGTCACACATGGGCAAACACTGTCCGATTCTACCACAGGACGTACAGGGGGTAGAGAATTCATAGAGAGGGGCAGTGGAATGGTGGTTGCAGGGCTGGTGGGAGGAGGATGTGGGGAGTTGTTTAATGTGTACAGAGTGTTGGTTTCATAGATGAAGAGTTCTGGGGATGGATGGTGGTGATGGCTGCACAACACTTGGATTTTTTTTTTTTTTTTTTTTTGAGACAGACTCTCATTCTGTCATCCAGGCTGGAGTGCAGTGGTGTGATCCTGGCTCACCACAACCTCTGCCTCCCAGATTCAAGCAATTCTCTTGTCTCAGCCTCCTGAGTGGCTGGGATTACAGGCGCCCACCACCATGCCCAGCTAATTTTTTATAATCCTTTACACTATTTAAAACTTTTTGTATTTTTAGTAGAGACAAGGTTTCACCATGTTGGCCAGGCTGGTCTCGAACTCCTGACCTCCAGTGATCCGCCCACCTTAGCCTCCCAAAGTGCTGAGATTACAGGCGTGAGCCACTGCGCGCGGGGCCTGAATGTATTTAACACTACTGAATTCTACACTTAAAATGGTTAAGGTAATACATTTTATATTATGTGTATTTTATCACAATTAAAAATGAAAAAAGTTTCACTGTCCAGGCTAGGGGATGAGTTCAGACATGGAGAGAGGTCTGAGGGATAGTATGAAATTGGAATGACTGGAACAATGAGCTCTATTTTTCTTACAAGCTTGTTCCACCAGCCTACAGAACTGCTCTGGAGTAATAGTAAGTTGAATTGATTAGCAGAGAGCATGGCGGAGAGAAGGTGGCGAGTGAGTGTTTAGCGGAAGAGTGGAGTTTTGAATTGTGTAAAGGATAGTAATTGAACAGAAAGTCATCTCCCCACAAATTGTGGACACAGCTTGAGTCCACTGGGTTCTTCTCAGAAGACACAATTTTGAGCCCTGACCACACACCAAGGCTGATGCCAAGGGACACATCAGACCCACACCTGTACCTAGTGTGTGACTCAGAGTGGGCAGCATGTCCCTGGGTAGACCCCCCATGCAGTCTTAACTTTGCCCCACGTGCGCCCCCAGAGTCCATATGCCCTCAAGCTCTGCACAGTGGAGGGGAGTGCTGTGTGGTCCACTGAGAGCTGCAGGCAGAAGGGATCACAGAGAAGCCCCCCAGCATCTGAATGTGCAAACCAGCACAGGGAATGCTGAAGCACGGGAGGGAGTAGTGTTAAAAAGTGGGGACTGGAACTTGTCTCAAGTCTCTGGCACTCAGCCCCAGGTGCCCCAACTCGACCACGCAGCCTCTCCCAGCACTTCCACCCTGAGGTCATCCCAGGCTTCACAGACAAAGCCATCCTGCCTGCTGCCCTTCACTGCTGCAGGTGTGCAGGCACCCACTCACCATTGAAGCGAACAGCTCGGATATACTGCAGCAGCATCCGCCCGTCCGTGGGTTCCATGGCTGGGCACAGGCCTGTGTGTCCAGGGCAGAGTGCCTGGTGCATGCTGTGGAGGGCGTGGGCAATGGCATACACCGCATCGATCACAAACTGCACCTTGCCCTCCTGCTCGTAGGTGGAATCCCGGCCGATGCGTTCCTCGCCTGTCCTAGGGATGCCCAGAGAAAGTGTGCCCGGCCCCCATGCACCCAACCCAGCCTCCCACCTTCCCTCTCCCCACCCTTGCCACCCTGGGCAGCTCTCACCTGTGCATTTGCGGGTGGAATCATCTGACTGGGTACCTGAGCTGGTCAGTTTGCAGTTAAAATTCTCTTCCCAGAACTCAGCGAACCAGATGTTCCTGCGGTTGTTCTCCAGGGATCGAGTCATGAAGTACTGGTCAAAACCTACAGAAAGGGAAGGAGAGGGAGGGTGGTGATGACCCAAGCCAGCTGTGTTACTCCTGTGTCTTTCTGCCACATGCTCACTTTGCAGCTAGGAGAAGCCAGGTGACCAAGTTCTGATTGTGAACTCAGAGCCAACTGGGGGTTCCAGGGTAGAATTTACATGCTAATGCAAACTCAGAGCCTCAACAATTGAAAGACTTTTTATCCCTGCTCCTTCTTTTCTGTTAGGATACCGCTGTGAAGATGTAATGGGTGGTGCCTCAGCAGCCATCTTGTAACTATGAGACCACAAGCAGGAAGATGCAAGGCAACCACAGGAAATGGTGAAACAAAAGAGTGGACAGAGCCCAGGGCTTTGAGAGTGTCACTCACTCGCTGCCCCACACCTAAAGTTGTCAACTCGTAGACCTCTTGTTTTGTGATGAGATGCCTTTATCACCAAAACTACCCTCAGTCCAGGCTGTCACTGGCACCCAAATGAATCACAGTTGAAATAAAAGGTGTGATGGTATATATCCCCCTAAGGCTGGGAAGCCCTAGCACCGAGGGCTCCCCGTTTTCAGGGTCTGTGTTTCATAAAATAGCCCTGGCGTGTGTCATCAAGGCGTCCTCAGTCCAGTCTTGGGGAAAATCAGCAAATTTTCCCACTTTATTGTAAAGTGAACCATCTGTCCCTGCTGGATTCATCCAGATCCACAGGTGGGACTGGGGGTGCAAGGGCTGCATCACTTTGATCAACAGGATGGTATATTCCATATCGTTGGTTTCTCTCCCTCCCACCCTCACCCTCACATTAGAATGTATTTGGCAGAACTAGAAATACAGGCACTAAATTTAAAATCAAAACCAAAAAACCAACAATTCCTCCCCTGTCCAGTGAGTGGGGCGTGCTTTTCCTCATGCCATCCCATTTAAGCACTGCTTGGAGGGATGCATCCACAGATTATCAGAATCATGGGTTCTGGGGATCTGAGAAGGGACCTGGATTATCACACCAATTACACGATGCGGAAAAGAGCATCCCCAAGAGGGGGTGCTGGGGAGACATGTGGGCTGGGGAACTCAGTGCCCCTGGACTCACCATCAATGGAAGCCCTTTTGGGGAGGATGGTGATGGCCCCAACGGCCACATCCTCCAGGCTCAGGATAGGCGAGGTCTTGGCTCCCCAGCTGTCTGAGCCGACCCACAGGAAGTGGCCGGTCAGGTTGGCCTGGCGAGCTGCCTCCAGGACCCGCCTGGTAGGAACAGGGCTATGGTGAGGGAGGGTCTGGGAACTTCTTCCAGCTTGGCTCTGGTTCCTTCCCACTCTATCCATCTCCCCTGCTCCACAAACACTCACCAGATCATTGTTTCTCAGGAAACATGGGGCTTGAGGCATTTAGCGCACTTTCCCTGGGCTTTCCTCTGACCCCAGGCCTGCCCACTTGCTCTGCCCACTGTAACCCACTGTATGGGGGGGACTTCTTGGGGGAAAATCCAGTTAGAAGGCACCCCTGCCCCACACACCTCCGCCAACGTCACACCCAACCTCTCAGGCTGGATATGAGCTCGGGCCAGTGGGTTTCGGGCCGAGGTCCATAGCCTCTATATGGACCCTGGGCTCCTTCCCTAACAGCTCCTTTTCTGCACTCAGATCCGCCTTCAGGTCTCTCCCCACACCCCGGGAGCTGTAAACATAGACACCAGTTCTGTATGCTACTAGGTCTGGATTTATGGCATCTCCCCAGACAAGGCTGCTTCGCCGCTGGGGGCGCCAGACTCACACCCAGCAGCAAGGAAGGTCCAGGGTGAGGAGAGCAAAGGGAGGCAGGGAGGGTGTGCATAAGGCAGTGATGTCAAGAGCAGGGGCAGGACCCTCAGGGAGAGCCCCAAGAAGCCCGCTGTCCCACCTGATGTCATCCTCGTTGGCAAAGATGATGATGCCCCGGGCGTTAGGCGTCTCCATGAGTCTCCTGATCAACTTGTTGAACTCTCCTGGCTTTGGTTCCCTGGGAATCTTGATGGACTGGGCAATACAGACCCCCCCTGGGTGTTGGGGGTGCCAAAGTCAGCTTCTGTCCCACCCACCCACATACCCACCTGGCCACCACTGCATAGGGCTGTGTAGCCTGGCTGAGGGGTCTGCAGGGGTGAAATCTAGCCTGCACCGTCCACCAGGCTTGAGACAGGGCTGAGTCCTCCAAAGGAGAGTGCCCTGCCCACATGGAGCACCAGCCAGGCAACCTCGGCCCTGGAGCCCACCATGGACCCAGGCCCCTCATCTCCCTGCTTCTGTCCCACCCAAGGGCCCTGGGCCCATCCTCTGTAGACCCCTTGGTGCCTCGGAGTCCCCAGCTCACCAGCCTCTCGGGAGATCTGAACAAAGGCCTCAACCCCGCTTTCGCCATAGTTCCCCTCAGAGGCCAGCGTGGACACATAGTTCCATCCCAGTGCCCTCACGATGTCCACCATGGCCTGGGCCTGGTAGGAGTCAGGTGGCACCACCCGGGAGAAGAAGTCATAGCGCGTGGAGTCGCTGAGCTCCGGGGCTGTGGAGGCATAGCTGATCTGGGGTATCTGGGGGCAGGAAGGACAGCTGGGCTGTGGATGGAGGTCAGTAACTCAATAGAGGGAGGGCAAGGGGGGCCCAGGACATGGACGGGGCACAGAAGGTATGGGGCAGGGACCTGGGACACAGATGGGGCATGGAAGGTTTGGGGTGGGGACCTGGGGCCACCTGGAGCAGCCACCTGGAAAGGCTAGAAGGTGTGGGGCAAGGTCTGCGTTTTGTGAGTGGGCCTGAGAACTCTGTGAAGGCTGTGAATGTGGGAGGTATGCAGGTCTAGGGGAGAGGGCAGGATGGCCACGTACAGTAGTACAAGCTGTGTCTTGAACTAGAACCCCCCCAGCAGAGGACTTGCAGCCCATTCAGCTGCATCTGCCTGTCCTAATCAGCCCCAGGGGAAAGTGCATATTCCTGATTCACACCACCGGGTGGTCTGCAGGGGCCAGCAGCTCGAGGAGGGACTAGGGTAGACAGGGGAGCAGCGGCAGTTGTTTGATTTAAGGCTGTGTCTGGCCGAGGATGGGGTTTGTTGAAAACTGGGTTTCTTTGCATGCATTAGAGATCAGAGGCTGAACTGACCAGGGAGTGTGGAGGCGGAGGCACAGGGCTGAGAAGGCAGACAAGAGAGGGCTCCGGGGCTCCAGGGCAAGAGGGGCTACAGCAAGAGCTGGTATGAAGGCCAGAGACACAGAGTTTTTGGAAGGAGAGAGGGGACTGGCCCAGGGTTGTTTGAAGCAGGATAGAAAGTGTGGAGACAGCATGAAAAGGAAGCAGGGAGGGCCAGGGAGAGAGAAAGGAGGAGGGAAGGTGGTAGTGGAGAGAAACAAGAAGGTGAGAGAGAGAGAGAGAGAGGAAAAAAAAAACCCCGGAGAACAGGAGGCAAGAAAGGCCCTATGGCCACAGCTTAGTGAGCAATGCTGTGGTCCTCTTAGCATTCCTGGACACTTGAGTTTGGGAAGAACCTTCCTCAGGGAAGTTAACTGAAGATGCCTGCCAGCACAGTGCGGCTGGGAAATTAACGTATTGTCTCTTTCAGACAGGAATTGCAGCATCTTGCCTGTGGCTGTGCTTCACACACCGTTTTTATTGTTTTAATGTTTGCATTTCTAGCCCCGCAGCACAACCTCAGTCTGGGCTGAGATGGCAGCAGCAAGCCCTGGGCTCACAGGGTCCTGCCCCCTTGAGTCCCCAACTGGGCCCATTGAAAGCCCTAGGGTTTGGGATCTCTGCATTCGATCTAGAGGACAGAGACAGAAACTAGAGCTCTAGGCAGGGCCGGGGACACATACAAGCGGCTGAAAAATCCCTGGGCCGCAGCACAGCCTCTCTGGTGCCAGCATGGAGGTGTGTGTCTGGCCACATTAACACTTCCCACCCGAGGAAACGGGGATGGGGGCTTCCATGTGCTCAGCGGATGGGGAGCAGCCCAGCATGCCTGGAGCAAAGGCAGATGCTGCTCCTGGGAGAGTCGGAGAAACTCAGGGAACAGAAGTTCCTCCCCTTGCAGATGGAAGCTAGGCCTTCCTCCTTCATAGACAGCTGCATACAAACGGCCCTTCCCCCCACAGAACCCCAGAAAAACTGTCCCACAACCCGCAGTTAATGACCAAATCGAAAACTCCCAAACTCATATGCCAAAGCCCCCTAATCCCGATTCCTCTGGCCTCTAGAACGACAAGGAACACGCTGACCCTCACAGGACAGTTCCCTACATTTGAGAACAGGGCAGGGCCAGCCTGGGCACCTGCGCAGGGCAAGGTGCAGGAGACCAGTGCTCAGAAAGGAACACCCTGCCCCGCTCTCAGATGCCCCTTGAGGGAGGGTTCAAGGCAGCCATTTTGAGAATGAATTTAAATGATCAAAAAAGAGAAGGACCAGACCTTTCGGGTCTATCTACCCCCAACAGCAGCTCAAGGACACGTCCCAGTTGCTGCTCTGGAAGAAGGGCCCCATTCCAAATAAAACTCAAGTTCATCACTCGAGCCTACGCAGGTCCAGGGGGCAGGAGCACCTAGTGTGGTTGCAGGGGGTGTGTCCAGAACAAGGACACCCGAGCAGGCCGGCAAATGGGGACTGAAGTCCAGGCCGCCCTCCCCAACCAACCAGCTTAGGCGTAGCTGGCACCCGCCGGGGAAGGGGCGCCCTTGCGGGACCTGGTAGACCAGGGCGGCTGGAGTGGTTGGATGGATCCGATTCAGTCCTGCGTCGGGCCCAGCGAACAGGATTTCTTTGACGCTGTGTGAATTCGACTGATTAAAACGGAGACTCTTCCAGAAGTGAAGAAAGGAGACTCGGGCCACCCCAGGGCGAGGAAGGGAGAGAGACACTGGAAACCGAGCTCGGCCACGCGGCCCTCACCGCAAACAGGCGCAGAACGTTGGCGACCATGATGGAGACGGAGCTGGCCGAGGCGCCCACGACGGCCACGACGCGCTCAGGGGGCGCGGCGCGCAGCGGAGGGACGCCTCCTGGGCAGCGCACGCCCACCTCATCGCCGTCGCCGCGGCCACGGATCAGCGCCTGCACGAAGCTCAGCGCCTGCTCCAGCGCGTAGGTGTCCCGCGAGCAGGTGTCCAGCAGCCGCGCGCCCAGGCGCACGCCGGGCAGCAGCTCGGGGTCGGCGTTGACGCGGTCCAGCGCGTACAGCATGGCCTCCAGTCGGTGCACGCCCTGCTCCTTCTTCAGCGGCCCGCACGCCCGGCCAGCCGCGCCCCGCGCGTGCACCGGGAACAGGCCGCCCAGTGTCAGGCCCCCCGCCAGGCGCACGGAGCCCGCGGCGCGCGCCAGGCCCGCCTGCGCCAACCACGCCAGCGGCAGCAGCGCCATGAGCAGCGGCTCCCGGGTGCTCCCGGGCCGCGCCATTGTCTCGTCCAGCTGGCTGCGGAGAGACAGAGGAGCTGGGAACGCTCTGAGGGCTGGGGGAAGGAGGGCGCGGGCTCCGGGCGCCGGGGGACACCGGGGTCCGAGGGAGAAGGCGCTCCGGGCGCGCCTTCCACTTTGGCTCTGGGGAGTTAGCTCAGCTGGCCTGCCTAGGCGTCCATCTCGCTCTCACCAGCGCTGAACCCTATCGCCTGGGGTCCCGTCCGACCACCGCCCCCACCCCTCCAGGCCTCCCACTTCCTGACGGCCTGGCCCCTCTTCCTCGAGGTCCATCCCCAGCGAACACCCTGGCTCCCTCCCCAGCCAGCCACCTGCGCCAACCGCTATCGGTTCAGGACAAGTCTATGACAGATGCCACCGAGGTCCTGAGCTAGAGAGGATTTAAGGATTCTGGGGAGGGATGAGAGGCTGCTCCTGGGGTGGAGACCCCTCCTGAGCGTGGGGGTGGCGGTGCTGGCTCTCTCTGAATCTCGGTCCCCTCCCTCTCCTAATCTCTGGGTCTGTCTCCTGTTTTCCTGTCTTTGTCTGTGTCTGATTCAGACTCTGGCTGTCTCTCTGCGGCTGTGTCTGACACGGAGTCTCTGTCCATCTCTCTGTCTCTGTCTTCTGCCTCCAGGTCTCTTTGTTCCTCAGTCTCTGTCTCTGGCTTTCTTGCCTCTGTCCTCTTCTTGGAAATATTTCTCTGTCCCTTCCTGTCTCTCCCTGACGTTCTCTCTCTGTGTCCCTAACCCCTTTCTCTTTCCCTCTGTCCTGTATCTGTCTCTCTCCCTCTGTCTTGTCTGCCAGTGCTCTTGACTGCAGTTGCCTAAGGTACTCCCCAGCTTTCTCCTTGCAAAACCCTGCAGGGAACAGAGGCTGCCTGAGGTGGGAGGCCCTAAGCAGAAGGAGGAAGAGAAAGGGGCCGGGAAGGGGCCAGAAGTGAGCAGCCTTTAATATTAGCGAACTTACCACACCCTGCAGTAGGGAAACAGCTCTTGAGGAGTGAGTTGACTTGCCCAAGAGCATGCAGCTGGCATGTGTGGGCCTCGGGATTCTCACCCAGAATGGCATGAAACCACCAGCGCACACTGCCCTTGATGGGGGGAGGGAAGGGGCTGGCTCTCCCTGAAGCTCCCACTGCCCGCTTTTGCATGGGAAGATGGAGTCCCCATAGGTTGTTCTGGCTGCGTCTAAAGCCTCCCTGGATTTTGGGTCTGAGGCAGCGGCTCAAGCTGTGGCATAAACTGCGTGAGGCTCTCTGTACCTAACTTTCCCCATCTCATCGTGGGGGCCAAGGTGAGGGGGCTTGGCTAAACGATGCCTTTACCATCACCCCCCATCTGAGGCCCAGGATTTGGCTCTCTCATGCCAAGAGAGCAAAGGGCATCCTGGAGACAGGTGGTGACCTCCTAGCCACAGGGATTATCAGGCTTCTCATACGAGGCCTGAGCCGGCTTGGGCTCCATTAGACAGACTGGATTAGGGTGGCTGCAGGGATTTGGGCAAGGCTGGCAGAGGGAGCAAACAAGAAACATGCCACTTTTTCTCTTCCCCCACTCCCCAGGCCCCTACAGTTTGTACTGCCAGGGCCACCTCTCCTGGGGGAAGCCCAGAGTCAGCAGGCTGGGTCTAACCCTGCTCCTATCCATTTTAACAGTGGGAAGGGTGGGGAGCTTAGCTGGCACAAGGCCCTGAGCCTGACATTGAAAAGGACTGCAGTAACTGGGCTTGGGAGGTGGATGGGCCCTTCCCTGTCAGTAACGGGCCTGACAGCTCCCAGCACACAGCAACCTCCTGCTTGGCATGACCAAGGCAGCCACTGCCTCTTCCTGGAGGATAGACCATCAGGAAGCAGGGGCAGCAGCAGGGGGACTGGTAGGGGGTTTTCGCCCTGTAGGAGGGAGGCACGAACACCTGTGAGCAGGGGGCTGGAGGAGGAGAGGAGGTGGCAGGATTTTAGGCCTGATGGAGATGGCTCTGTGGGGATGGAGGATGGCATCACTGCTGGGGCATTACCTGAGACAGAGCTGAGCAGGTCAAGGAGGGCAGAAGCCAAGAGTTCAGGTTTGGATGCAGGAAAGCAGAGGCTTCATGATTCATGAGCCTGGAATTGAGGGAAGAGGCCAGGGTGGGAGGGAAAGTTGAGGTGGGATTTCGATGGTGGTGTTTAAAGCCATGGGATGCAGGAGCTCACTGGGCTGAGAGTGTGGACAGGTGGTAAGGACGGAGCCCCAGGAACCCCAACATGAGGGGGCTGAGCAGAAGTAAGGAGACTGGGAGGGGATGGCTGAGGAGTTAGAGTTGAGAAGCAGGAGAATGGGTGGCAGAGGGGCCCAGAAACAAAGATTGAGAAGGGCGGGAACATTCATCATAATTCATTCAGCCCCATGCGGTGGCAGAAGGCCACCTTCGCACACATGAGAAGAGGCAAGGAGGCAGGGCAGCCCCGTGCCACACTGCCCAGATGCCTGTGGCTTGGAAAACCCCTACAGCCTTCTGTGATTTCAGCTGCAGTTGCTGCCATTAACAAGCACACAGGAAACTAAAGCCTGGGCTGCTGCCTTCAGCTTGTGTCCACACTTCCAACCCCAGAGCCGGGCCATTCAGTATCTCCTCCAGACCAGCCCCCACATTTAACAACCAGATGGTTCCAGCTGCAAAATTAGTTTAAAGCTCCACGTTCCCAGGTTTGTTTAATGGTTAAGCTTCCAGTCCCAGGATTGGGATGTTAGACATACTTCACTCTCTCTTTTGTTGGGAACATGTTTTGTGGGGGAACCGGTGCATCTAGCATGGACTCTGGCACAGGGATATTGAAAAGCACGGGGTCTGTACCTGGGAAGCCTACCCAATCCCTCCCAGAATGTCCTGTGTGGAGCAATGTGGGGTGTGTCTGGGAAGCAAGCCCCACTAGCCTGCTGCTCCCAAGTGCCCTCACACCCCCAAGGGGAGCTACAAGCCCCTCATGGCAGCAGGGCATGAGTTTGGGCCTTGGCTGTCACCAAGACCCAGCATCACCTCCCTCCAGCCTTCCCTGTTGACCCCTGGCCTCCTCACTGCGCTCTTCAGTGCTCAGCTGCCATATGACACACTGCCCAGAGGACCAGCTTTTCCAGCCACGACCACCAATGGCGCTGCTGCCACTACAAGACCTGGTGCTGCTGGGAGACCCATCAGCTGGGAAGGAGGCAGGCCAGATGCAGTGGCTCCTGCCTGTAGTCCCAGCACTGTGGGAGGCCGAGGCAGAAGATTGCTTGAGCTTGGGGGTTTGAGAACAGCCTGAGCAACATAGCAAGACCTTGTCTCTGCAAAAAATACAAAAATTAGCCAGGCATGGTGGTGCATGCCTGTGGTTTCAGCTACTCAGGAGGCTGAGGTGAGAGGATCCCCTGAGCCCAGGAGGTCAAAAATGCAGTGAGTTAGGATTGTGCCACTGTACTTCAACCTGGGCAACAGAGCGAGACCCTGTCCACCTCCCCTTACCACCCCCCCACCACCCAAAATAAAAGCAGCCTGAGGCTAGGATTTCGAGGATGAAGAAAGGGAACAGGGTCTGGATGAAGAGATGTTGCCAGACCTCGTCAGAGCTGTACCAGGACAAGCAGTCATCTCTCCAGCCTCCCTAGCCAGGGAGAATGCCTGCTGGGGACACCCAACCACGGCATAGGGCCCTCTTACAGCATCCTGATACAGCAGCTTGGGCTCGATAAAGTTGCACAGCATTTTTACAAAATGCATAGGACATAATTTAAAAGGTTGCGCCAAGAAGTCCTGTTGCCCCCTGCCCCTGGGACTGTTTTTCTCAGCTGGGCTGCCATAGCAAAGTCCCACAGACAGCTGGTCAAAGAACAGAGATTCTTTTTTTATGGTGAAAAGCTTTAATAACAGACAATCTGATTTCATAGGCAACCAATGAGCAGATTAATGAATCATTTAACTTTCTTTACTTACAACCAATATTCCACCCAAGAAAGGTGAACCCAAAATGCATCCTCTTGCATTCACCAGCATAACTACATACAAATGAAGTCAATGGTGTACCCTGTTAGCATAGCATACTGCATTGTGAGTCAGTAAAACAAGCCTTCTCCTACTCCAGGTCCTGTCCCCCTGGCAAACATAGATACAAATGATGTGCACTGCGTGATGTGCATTAGGTGAGAACTTTGGTTCATGCAGTCAGCTGCTGTATAGGTTGCACCCAAAGCCTATGGCCCTGGCACCCAAAGTCAGTCAGCAGTGGTGGCCCACGGTGTCAGCCATGTTCCTTCCATACCAGGTGAATACTGTGGTCAGGCATGCTGCTGGCAAAGACCAAGCCCATGTCATTGTGCCCATCTGGTCCATTCAACCAGGATGCTTCACCTGCCAGGAATCTTGAGCCTGTCTTTGATTTCCTGTACTCTGGCAGAGGCCAGCGGCTAATCAGGCTCTGTGTCTGCAAGTCTGTGATGCACAGGAGGCGGTTGTCAAACAGCAGAGCAAAAGTATTTCCAAAGCCAAGCAAGGCCAAGTTTGCTATCTCAGGAGTCTTGATGACCCTGAGAATAGCGTAACTGGAGGCAAAGTTGCTGGTAGAGACCGAGTGCTGAGCTATAGACAAGGTATTTGCCAACCAAATGAAGCCTTGGCTGCAAGCAGATCCTTCTGTCCTCAGAGACAAGACAATGTCTTTAAGCACTTGCGGTTGATTTCTCTCCCAATTGGCCAAATCTTAATCTCCTATTTGTCTGCACTTAAGAAGATGTAGTCTTCAGGGTTGTGCAAGAGAGACTTGACTTTGCACAGTGAAGTCTGCAGAGCCACTTTCTAAGATATCATTGTAGTCCACACTAAACACTGTCCCCATGTCCTCGCGGAAGTGCTGGGTCCTGGCTCTGAAACTGTATTCCCAGCAAGCCACAGTGTTGGCAAAGGAGCCTGTCACAAGTTTCCGTTCATTGAACTTCACCACTGCGCAAGTGTGAGTCTGGATGCCATAAACACACTGCCCTGTGCTCAGATCCCACAGCTTTGCAGACCGTGACTGTCTTCCTCAGCTGGGCTGCCACAGCAAAGCCCCAGACAGAGGGTTAAAGAATAGAGATTTATCTTCCCACAGCTCTGGAGGTTGAGCATCCAAGATCAGGGTGACAGTGTGGTGAGTTCTTGGGCGGGCCTCTCCCTGGCTTGCAGACCATCCCCTGCTCCTTGCATTCTCACATGGCCTTTTCTTGTGTGTGCAGGAGAAGAGAGAGTCCTCTTGTCCTCTGCTCATGAGGCCACCAGTCCTATCAGATTAGGGCCCCACCCTTATGACCTCATCTAACCTAATCACCCCTTAAAGTTCTGCTTTCACAGACACTCACATTGCCAGTCAGGGCTTCTGCATAAGAATTTGGGGACACAACTTGTCTGTATCCCTCTGACTCGGCCTGAGGCATCCAGGGGAAAGGGCAAAGGGCACCCAGCAAAACTGCAGGGTGGTGGTTTAGTCCACACTCGGGGCTACAGAGCCCAGGTCTAGCTCTTGGCCTGGTCACCTTTATCAAGGTGAAGTTGAGTAAGTCTCTGTACCTTTATTTAGCTTCAGGGTCCACATCTTTTTTTTTTTTTTTTTTTTTAAACAGAGTCTCCTGTTGCCCAGGCTGGAGTACCGTGATGTGATCTCGGCTCACTGCAACTTCTGATTCCCAGGTTCAAGTGATTC